GGAGGAGGAGGGGAAGCATGGGGTTGGGGAGGGGAGAGGGGAGGGGAGGGGAGTGAAGGGAAGGGAGGAGATTGGAAGAGAAGCGAGGCCGGGCATATCTAAAAATATGGAGAACCAGAATCAGGTACTGAGCCCATCTGACTCTTAATCCTGCTTCTTCCCATTTCTTTCCATATGGGCCAAGTATTGAATGGTATCAATAACCATTTGGCCAATTTGACTGTTAAAATCATGAAAAAAAAAAAAGGCACTGAACCAACTGTGCTTTCCCTCAAACGTGCTAAAATGACTCTAGAATCCAATCAGATGGCAGAAATGCCTCCTAACCGGCCCAGGTGACCCACATGTGTGTGAGGTCCACTTTCAGCCTTGCAGTGGTTGTCTAGATATTTCAGCAGTGAAAAAGCCAGACTCCAGAGCCAATTTCCAAGAAAAGTGAATCCAGCCTCCTCTCCCGTAACAGGCCGAAGCCTTGGGGATTAGTACAAGTAACTTTGTTGTTTGTTGTAGTTTTCCAGCAGTTTAATGAAAACGAATCATCGTGGAGTACACGGTCCAGACTTTCCGAAGTCTACAGGCCAAACGGGCTCAGATCTCACTTGACATTTAAGTGCAAAGGGTTAGTGTTGGGGTGGAGGGAGAGTTCTCTTCCCCACCAGGAACACGCAGGGGGTAGAAGTTTTCTATTCCCTGAGCGTGTTCACCACGGGTGCCCTTTTACAGATTCAGTTACAGAGTCTCGGGGTTTCCTTCACCCTTGGGCTATTTGGCTTCAGGCCTAGAGCCTGGGGAGTATCGAAGTTTTGTTCCCTTGAATGATATGTTCAATCTATCAGCTTAAATAAGTACAAGATGGCAAGAGAATCGGCCAGCAGGCTCTGAGGAAAGCAAAAAAAAACCAACTAATCTCTTCAAGGTTGGTTGGCCCTGGGAGTCCTACCTGCTGGGTCCCCAGACTGAGAGGGGGTAACTTTTAAAGCAGAAGCATTTAGATAAAAGGGCCATTAAAAACAAAGTGAGAGAGTGGCATGGACATATATGCACTACCAAATGTAAAATAGATAGCTAGTGGGAAGCAGCCACATAGTACAGGGAGATCAACTCGGTGTTTTGTGACCACCTAGAGGGGTGGGATGAGGGAGGGAGACGCAAGAGGGAAGAGATATGGGAACATATGTATATGTATAACTGATTCACTTTTGTTATAAAGCAGAAACTAACACACCATTGTAAAGCAATTATACTCCAATAAAGATGTAAAACAAAACAAAACAAAACAAAACAAAAACAAATCCAGAGGCAGCTCATGACTTAGATACTGAGAAGCACACAAAAGCAGCTTCAGGGTGAGAAAGAGATGCATGAGAAGGGCTACGATCTACCCACAGACACTCCTGCACTCCTGTCCCGAATACACCCCACTGGAGACTCTGATGGGATGGAAGAGAAGACAGGGGAGAGGCCTGTGGATGGGGTGAGGGCCTTAACTCAGACGGCCCAGGTTCGGATCCCAGCTCTATCACTTCCCTAAAACCTGTACCACTACATTCTTATCTGTAAAATAGGAGTAATCCCCACCTCCATGAACTGCGAGGACTAAATGGCACTTGGATATGAGAAGATGCTTGGTGCCTGGCTCACGGCAGCTGTGAAGCTTGGGGTGGGGATGTACTTAAAAGGATGGAGGTGGGGAAAGAAGGGGGAGGCGGGGAGGGGATAGGAGCTCTGTGGAGCAGAAAGCTGTAGAAATAAGCCCTGGATTCTGCTCCCCACGACATCCCCCAAGCCCCTTCAGCCCCACGTAAGAGAATGTCACCTTCTTCCACCTTATTCTGTCACAGCCGAGCCGGGAGGAAGTTTAAGGCTGTAATTAAAGCAACCTGGGTTTCAAAACCCAACTCACTTCTCCCTCCGGCTGGGGCAGATCTGCTGGCTATGAAGACGTCAGAGAAGGAATCAAATAATAACTAGACTAGAGACAAGGCTTATCATTTCCCATTTTAATTTATAAGGACGAGGGTTGCCAAGAGCAAAAAGAAAGATCATGTTTTCTTCCTTTATCATGAGATGATAAAGGAGAAAGCATGGAACCAATTACATGTATCATGCAGCACCCTCAGCTCCACTATCCTTTACCATCTCCTAGTCCAAACCACACTTATAAACTAGGAAGGCCTAAAACCTCCACCTGCAAGGTCCCTAAGGGTTCTGGGATTGTCCGAGGCCACACCCCTAAGGAGAAGAATAAAGGAGGCCCTAGATTTTCCATGACATGGTAATGTAGGCATGTTAGCCTGAGCCCACTAAGGATCTTATTCTGTTTGAGATGGGAGAGTGCAGTGGCTAAGACAGGGGCTTTCAACCTTGGCTGGATATTAGAATCACTGGAGGAGCTGTTAATACAAATCTCCACGCCCCACCGGCTGCACCCAGACCAATGAAATGAATCTCTGGGTGTGGGATCCAGGCATCAGTGTGTTTTAAAGCTCTCCAAGTGGTTCCAATGAGCAGCCAGTGTTTAGAATTGCTGGGCTAAGAGCCTGGACTTTGGAGTCAGACTTCCTGGATTCAAACCCACTTCAAATGTCACTTCCAAATGCATGGCTGGGATATATGTTTTATAAGCTGGATAAATGTTAGTTGTGACTATGACAGTATTTTGGAATAATAATAGCCATTTATAATGGCTAGAATCCAATATAACACAGAAGTTAAGCCTGCAGGCTCTGGAGTTTCACTGCTTGGCAAGGGAGGGGCCAGGGTGAGGAGAGTGAGGCTCCTGGGGGCAAAGTGTAAGGGGGCTCTCACTCTTCGAGTCCTGTAGCTGCAAACCGTCTGGGTCCAAATCTTGGCTCTGCACGGGACTAGCCATGTGGCCATGGGCCAGTGATTTACAGTGATTTATTCATCTGCAAAATGAGGCCGCGTCACGTATGCAATGAAGGTAAGAGTTACAGAAACCTCATCAGGTTGGTGTGAGGCTTACACTGAAATAACATACAGAGAAGTTAGCAGAAAGCTTGAGGCACACGGTAAGTGATTAGCTGTTGATGTGATGAGGAGAAAGACAGGGATGATGGTGTTGCTTAGATGCTTGCTTTAAGTAACAGCAGTCCTTCAGATCCGTCTGGGGCTGTAGAAGGATTTTGAATTCCATGACAACTGTGGACCCTCTCCCCACAAAATTCCCAAATCTATATAATTGTGCACATGGCTGCTGAAGTCTGCAGAAAACACAGATGGGGGTAGGTGGACACACAGGTCCAGGACCCTTAGCAAATTCTCTGCCATGGCTCATTGAGGGTAGTTCCTGGGTCCTGCGAACCCTGACTCCTCTGAGCCCCAGGAGGCAGCAGACTTTCCAGAGGCCACCTTTAACCACACCAAGGCTCCTTGGTCATGCTGCACCGAGACGGCAGGAGTGGAAATGGTCCTCAGGAACTCCACTCTCTGGATAATAAGGACTCATTCCAAGGTCCTTGGCTTAGGGAATACATAGGACCAAAGAAGAGTGGCCCTAAGGTTTTGGTGTTGGTGAATTTGTTGTTTTCCATCCTCTAGACCTGCACTGCCCAATATGGTAACCACGAGCTATTTACACATAAATGAATGAAAATTAATGAAGTTAAAAATTCAGGGCTTCCCTGGTGGCACAGTGGTTGAGAGTCCGCCTGCCGATGCAGGGGATGTGGGTTTGTGCCCCGGTCCAGGAAGATCCCACATGCCGCGGAGCGGCTGGGCCCGTGAGCCATGGCCACTGGGCCTGCGCGTCCGGAGCCTGTGCTCCGCAACGGGAGAGGCCACAGCAGTGAGAGGCCCGCGTACCGCAAAAAAGAAAAAAAAAAAATCAACTTAGTCACGCTAGCCACATTTCAACTGCTCACTAACCACATGTGGCATGTAGCTACTGCACTGGGCTGTGCAGACATAGGACATTTCTATCATGGGGAGTTCTCCTGAGCAGGACTGCTCCAGACCAGCAGTCAGCAAGCCATGCCCCGCCCCTCCCCTCCCCGTCCCCAAATCCAGCTGTGGCCCATTGAGTTATGGCCTGTGAGCTAAGGATGGTTTCTATCTTTTTAAAGGGTAAAATCAAATAAAGAATATGCAGGAGACCTACGTGGCCTACAAGGCCCAAAATATTTCCTATCTAATTTTTTACTGTTTTCCAACCACTACTCTGACCATGTGTACCTTGAGAGTGAGGTTTGAGTGGGATTTACTTGTCCTGCCCCACAGTTTGTACCAGGGACTTTCTGCTTAGCTGCTAACACTTGTGTAGGGGTTGCTAAAATGGGACTCAACCCCGCCTGAAGCATAAAGATAATAGATGCTACATTCTGAAGAGACCACCATGCCAACGTTTGAAATTAGGTGACTGAAAACAAGTTGACTATTACCAACCTCAAGGACTTAAAAGGACGGAGTAGAGGTTGAGAGGATTCTAGGGAGCAACAAAATAATGATGGCTATGGGTTAAAACCACAGAATAAAATAAATACCAATGAGCCCATACTGATAAAAATGAATAAATGAGTAAACAAACGAATGAATAAATAGGGGGAAAGGGACTTTTCTCTTCAATTAATCTAGAGGGAATGATGGGACTAGAAATCACTTTAGATCAACACTATAAATAATAATCCTTGTTTGCAAGACTCATTGAAGGATGGTAAGAACTGTGGGCAAAAGTCTGATGACAAATGAGATATTTGCATAACCTCAAAGTAACTTCCCAGAAGACACTTACTAATTACAGAGAATAATGCTACCTCTGCACAGGAGGAAGCTGGTAGATAGCACTTTAGCTGAGTGATCAAGGTCAACATGCCTAGTAATAAGAGACTGGCATCCTGTACCCCCTGATATGATGCACTGAGAAGGTCACAATGTCATTTCCAAGTTATTCTTGCCAAAAATGTCAAACTCAGTCTAATCAGGAGAAAACAATGACCAACACACACTGAGGGCTATTTCATAGAAAAACTGACCAGTGCTCTTCAAAAGCATCAAGGGCATGACACTCAAGGAAAGACTAAAGAACTCTCACAGATTGGAGGAGACTAAGGAGATGTGACAATTAAATGCCACATGGGACTCTAGGTTGGATCCTGGACCAGGATATGACATCAGTGGGAAAACTAACAAATGCAAAAATAGTCTTTAGCAGGTTAGTTAATCCATGTTAATTTTCTGATTTCAATCATTGCACTATGGTTGTATAAGGTGTCAACATTAGGGGAAACTGGGTGAAGGGTCTACAGGGGCCCTGTGTACTACATTTGCAATTTTTTTCTACCTCTAAAATGATTTCAACAGAAAATGTTTCTTTTTTTAAAAGATGTTCTGTCTTCTACCACCAGTCAGTGCCTCTCATACACATAGTCCAAATAATTTCTCTGAGCTGTACACAGCTGGCCTGCCTCCCGCTTCCTAAATCTCACTCACAAACTCTGGCTACTTTCACCCACGGAAGCCCCAGAGAGACAGCAGCACAGGGTGGACCAGGTGACAGCTTCAGGATCAGATTGACTTGGGTTCAAGCTGCAGCTCCATCATCTACCAGCTGAGCCCTTAGGTGTTCCCCTGGCTGACTTCATCAGTTCTTATGACACTTCCTCCTAGAAGCCCTCCCTGACTACCTGCACTAAAGTTCCTTTTCCCTACAACGCCATTAACTTTTGCT